ATCCCAATCAGATGGAGATTCTTCCCAGTGGATGAATCTATGTCTTCTGAAGATAAACGTGTGTGTGTGTGTGTGTAACTACACTTTCGAGAGAGGGTTGAGTTTACGCTTTGTGTAAAAGGAAATGCCATATGGATTACTGTCAGTATGTGCTTTTTGGATTACCAACATTCTGGTTCCTATTATACGAGATTGGCTACAATATTGTAATTTGACTACATCAAAGTCACAAAGTTTCACAGACACATTATGCTACAAACAGTTGAAAGACTTTTAGAAAGAAACAAATGTAAGCAGCAGCAAGACGGTTCAGAGAAGCACAGCATACAGTAATTGGATTAAGAATGATCATTTATCGTGTGATGCATCTTATTATATTAAGAGTGTGTGTTTAAAGTGCTTTATATAAACAGTTATGACTAATGGCTTGAAAGATACTCCAGGTCCAGCCCCAGAGGAGGCCAGTAGCCTAATGAACATATCAATATTGCCCAGAGACTGAAGATACTGAGAATCACAAGGGACTTGACAGATCATTTGTTCCAGTTGAATCCACACATACAGATCAAAGCTGCATATGAAATACAGAATCACATTGATTTGATTGTGACGCACAATGCTGTAGATTTGTTTGAAGCAACAGATGCTTCTGTACATAACCACGACATTAAAGCACATCAATATTAGCCTAAGAGTTAATGATTGGTCTTCAAAAAATTATGCTGATATGCCTTGCCTATATGATAATGTGTTAATTGTGTAAACTGTTGCCTGTATGGTGATTAGATTCACTGTTTTGAATTGCCGAACAGAAGGACATGTCCGGGGTGCGATACCTGTCAACAGTCTCTTTCAATTTCTAGCACTCTATGCCCAATGAAGTGCTTTTTAAACACTGATCTCCACAATGGTGACTTAAAATTACGTTTTTTTTTCCTTTAGAGATTCTGCTTGTTAACACCAGGTGTCTTCAATAATGCTCAAACATCACTCAATTATTCACTTAATTATCTCATTAACTTTAACACTGCTTCAGTGTTCATTTAACACTCAGCTCAGAGTTTATATAATTCACACTAACACTTGTGGATTTTGCTGTGAAGCATTATTCAATTTACTTGATGTTATTCCCACAGGAAGACAGGGCAGGACATATCGAAAAGCTCCACCTCTTTTTTAAAATAGCCAATAGCGCTTTAGTTTATATCACAGCTGTTGAGCTCATTAAAGCAGCAGTTTCCTTCTAATCTCTAACCGTTTCCTGTTCTCCTCTATATTGCTTTGAAATACAACATTCGGTGTCGAATTCAAATGGGTCTGATACATTTTCGACTCGACCGCATGATCCGCTCTGTGCTGTTGTGTCTCTAGACCAGAGCTGCGGTGGTTCACGTGACACAAACGTGAAACCAGACTTCATTTTTCCCAATGGATAGCACTGACACTGTCTGAATTGTTCCCTATCCCCTATAGACCTTATTCACAAGACAAACAAGTGTGCAGATTATTGTCTATTATAATATGTTTATAATCTAAATGTGAATTGTGTCATTGTTTTGGAGCACACTAGCTTATAGATAACAGAAAGGTGAACATATTCATAATAAATCCCCCCAAAAACCTTCAATTTTGACTTTATCTAACGATAAACCTTTTGGTAAGGAGACCACAGAACTCTGAAACCGGACTGAAAAAAAATACAGTTTTTTGTAAGTGGAGTCAGAAGTATGATAAATGCAAAATGATGACAGGCTAGAATATTAAGTAAGATTATTGGCTGATTTTAAGTTAATCCAATGAAGATTTACCAATAACTTATTTCAAATTCATAACTGTTTATAGATGGATCTTTCACAACACTGTGAAAGTACTGCAAATTATAAACCTGGAAGTGGAACATACTATAATTTTACACCAAAATGTTTAACAGTGTAGAATTGGGGGTGGCATTTTTTGATCTACCTAGCAACCATAGCATAGCAACCGCATACTAATCAGCATTGAGAGTGCTTAGATTTAACAGTGAAAGAAGTTCAATTAAAAAATGAGGACAGAGGAGTAAAATGAAAGCTTCAAGCATGGTCATGGCCAAGTGAGTTTACAAAAGAAAAAGTGTTATTACGCTTACCAAGTTCCTGCGTAATACCTGGTGAATACTTACAAATTAAAGACAATGGAATAAAATAACACTCCGAAAACCTTGACAACCACAACAACAAAACAAAAGCAGAGCCGGCAGGTTCTTACACACGCAACTCACATTTTCTTCATGACACACTGCAGCTTTATATGAGTTTAGTTTTGAGGGTTGGAGCATCAGCTGAAGAAGAAGGAAGCATGAGGGCAACAGGGAAAAGAGATGTGAAATGAGCAGTGTTCAGATCAGATGGATGAAGCTTCAGGGTCGTGACGGAGCCTGCGGTCCAGCACATGCTCACACCAGGAGGAGGACAGCTTATGAGATCAGCAGCCCTGACCCTCTGACTCACAGAGAGAGAGAGAGAGAGAGAGAGAGAGAGAGAGAGAGAGAGAGAGAGAGAGAGAGAGAGAGAGAGAGAGAGAGAGAGGGAGAGGGCGAGGGACACACACACACACACACAGAGACTAGGGACTAGGACGATTTGGGGAAAATGTCATATTGCGATTATTGGGGTCAATATTGCGATTGTGATATAATAAACAAATGGTTTCATGAGTCAACTTGCTTGATTCTAAAGTAAAATGCACACACAGATTAGTGATCATTCTGTGTATTAATGTCTGTGTCTTAATTAACTCAAACTAGCAACAACAACTAAATGATTGATAACACCTACAGTATAATGATCAATAAACCATTGACGTCTGGATAAAAATGATGTGTTAAAATAGAAATATGCAAGCAAAAGCAATGCTTGTCTCCAAGTAGCCTGCTTCCATATACTAAACCAGAACTAACCAGCACTAAACAAGCCTGGACCAGCAGTAACTAGCATAAACCAACACTAAACCAGCACTAACTAGCACTAAACAAGCATAGGCAAGCCTGGACCAGCACTAACCAGCATAAACCAGCACTGAACTACCACTAAACCAGCATTAAACCAGCATAGGTAAGCCTGTTGGCTAGCATAAACCAGGACTAAACTAGCACTAAATCAGCATAGACAAGCCTGGACCAGCACTAACCAGCATAAACCAGCACTAAACTAGCACTAAACTAGCACTAAACAAGCATAGACAAGCCTGTGGACCAGAATAAACCAGCACTAAACCAGCATTAAACCATCATAGACAAGCCTGTGGACCAGCATAAACCAGCACTAAACTAGCACTAAACCAGCTTAGACAAGCCTGGACCAGCACTAACCAGCATAAACCAGCACTAAACAAGCATAGACAAGCCTGGACCAGCACTAACCAGCATAAACCAGCACTAAACTAGCACTAAACAAGCATAGACAAGCTTGGACCAGCACTAACCAGCATAAACCAGCACTAAACTAGTACTAAACCAGCATAGACAAGCCTGGACCAGCACTAAACAAGCATAAACCAGCACTAAACCAGCATAAACAAGCCTTGTCCAGCACTAACCAGCATAAACCAGAACTAAACTAGTACTAAACCAGCATAGACAAGCCTGGACCAGCACTAAACAAGCATAAACCAGCACTAAACCAGCACTAAACAAGCCTGGACCAGCACTAACCAGCATAAACCAGCACTAAACTAGTACTAAACCAGCATAGACAAGCCTGGATCAGCACTAAACAAGCATAAACCAGCACTAAACCAGCACTAAACAAGCCTGGACCAGCACTAACCAGCATAAACCAGCACTAAACTAGCACTAAACCAGCATAGACAAGCCTGGACCAGCACTAACCAGCATAAACCAGCACTAAACTAGCACTAAACCAGCAATAGCATAGACAAGCTTGGACCAGCACTAACCAGCATAAACTAGCACTAAACAAGCATAGACAAGCTTGGACCAGCACTAACCAGCATAAACCAGCACTAAACTAGTACTAAACCAGCATAGACAAGCCTGGACCAGCACTAAACCAGAATAAACCAGCACTAAACTAGCAGTAAACTAGCACTAAACAAGCCTGGACCAGCATAAACCAGAACTAAACTAGCTCTAAACCAGCACTAACCCAGCATTAGCAAGCCTGGATCAGCACTAAACCAGAACTAAACCAGCATAAACCAGCACTGACCAGCATAAACAAGCCTTGTCCAGCACTAACCAGCAGTAAATAGCATAACCCAGCACTAAACTAGTACGAACCAACACTAAACCAGCACTAACCAGCAAGGAATTCATGCTGGTTTATGCTGGATTTTTCAGCAGGGAGAGGAAGATTTTAGTATTTTATTATAGTTTCATTGCATTTTTTTAAAGCTTTTTTTTAAAGCTTGATATCATCTGGACATCTGGTCAGCTTTCACCGTATGGAAAAGGGCAGCGTGAACATTTTGCTGAATTTGTGTTTTGGATCGACATCAGTAAATGAGAATCTCATTATTCCTTTAAATGATGCAACAATCTAAGGGGGAAAATGGAAACTCAAAAACATAATGAAAGAAATAAATTACATACAAATGGAGGTAAAAGTGAAACATACCGCAAAAACATTCTGAACTTCCAATTTCACAGCCACTTAGACCCATTAAAACACCACAACAAGTAGTCCCTCCTTCAACCACAGGCTATGAAGGGTTAAAAGAAACCACACAGAACTGGCCTTGTGGTTAGATGTCTGAGCAAGCAGCACTCAGGGGACACGCATGGGCCAGCAGGTCAAATCTGAACACTTTAATGAGCCACACATACACACACTCTCTCTCTACAATTAGAGAGAGAGAGGAGGAGGACTCTTTCGGCTCAGCATGACTTTTCCCTTTAAATACATGACAAATATAATGCTTCATGGACACGGTGTGTGTGTGTGTGTGTGTGTGTGTGTTTGTGTGTGTGTGTAGAGAGAGAAATGCAAGCATTTACTCACATCTGTGTCGGGGCCCTTGTCGGCCCCTGGACAGGAGAACGTAACAAACTCATGGCACCGTTTGTGGACCACAAAACAGCACACTGTGGATGAGAAGAAAGGGGAAATCAGATCAAAAACATAAACACGTGTGTTTCATATACATATCAAATATCAAACCTATGAATACAGCTGAAATGTCGTGATTCTAGACACCACACATTGCTAATTTCAGATTTTAGTAACGGTTTAATGATATACAGCAACATAGAGCGAGCTTTGGTGAAAACGAATCAAATATTTTAATTACTACAACAGTAATTTCTCCCAAGAAATGACATCAAAAGTGGAAACCGGTGAAAAACTTAGTCCCTATATTTAGACACGAACTGGATATCAAAGGCAGTGAATTATAGATCTGTGCTGTCTTCATAAATCCATCAGATGAAGGTTTCTCAGGAGAGAAGACGTGAAGCTAACGTCTCGGTTACGGATGTAACCCTCGTTCCCTGAGTAGGGAACGGAGACGTTACGTCAGAAGTGACGGAGATTGCGAAACCCCCCGATCTCCGTCACTTCTGACATAACGTCTCCGTTCCCTACTCAGGGAACGAGGGTTACATCCGTAACCGAGACGTTCCCTTTCGTAGTCACTTCGAGTTACGTCAGAAGTGACGGAGATCGGGGGGTTTCGCAATCTCCGTCACTTCTGACGTAACTCGAAGTGACTACGAAAGGGAACATTAGATTCATGCCTTGAAATGTGTCCTCCGAAGGCAGCGTTGTTACGCTTTGGGAAGCAGTCTTGGACTGATTAAAGGGTTAGTTCACCCAAAAATGAAAATTAAGTCATTAATTACTCACCCCCATGCTGTACCAACCCCGTAAGACCTTCGTTCATCTTCGGAACACAAATGAAGATATTTTTGATTAAATTTGAGAGCTGTATAACTACCACATTGGCTCCTAAGGGACTGCCTCTTGACGGCCCAGAAAGTCAATGAAGAAAATGTTTAAATATCCCAAGTGACTACCGTGGCTCAACTATATGTTTATTAAGCGACGCGAATACTTTTTGTGCGAAAAAACAAACAAAAATAACGAGTTTATTCGACTATTTATTTTCTTCCTTGTAGGCCAGAAACGAGATTTCCTTAGATTTCCACGAGGCATGCGCGAGAATTGCTATCTGCTTACACCAGCTTACACTACTTCAGATCGCAATTCTCGCGCATGCAGGGTTGGTACAGCATGGGGGTGAGTAATTAATGACTTAATTTTCATTTTTGGGTGAACTAACCCTTTAATATTTGAAGGTCTAAATGCAGTGAGTTTTGTTTTCAGCTTCAGTAACTGATGCTGAATGTATTTTCCCATGAGATGAGCCAGTAGTGGCAAAACACGGCCTGGCTCCGCCTGCTACAGAGGCCACGCCCCCAAACTCACGCTATTGGTTGAGCTGGAAAGAGATTGATGGACATGGGGTGTGTTCCTGTACAACACTGTAACTCGCGGCTTCACTACTACAGTACGATAGCCTGGTTCAACCAGACTCTAGTTCATTTCATTTCCACATAGAGTCTGGAACCGCTCCATTGAGAAAGTTTCCTTCCTTGTAGGCGGGTTCACTATTAAAGTTCAAATCTATTGGATCTGCCCAAAGTCACTCACGATCTGCCATAGCCAATCGCTAACGGGGTGTCGTGAGTGACGTATGTCACGCGCCGAAGTGGCTGGAAACAACAAGTCCGAATGATCAGAGGATTATGTTTACAATAGGATTTCAGTCAACGAGCGCCGCAGGTTTTGTTAATCTAGGAACAATTATTAATTCGAAATGTATATTTGACACGAAGGACAGTGATGTATTCATTCAACGGTGGAAGCTGTGTCTAATCATTACAAATACGCCGCTGTGGTCGTTTTCTGATCTGCTGCAAATGCTGTAGCAGCTACAGTGAATGATCAGTCTGTCTCTATCTGCAGATGTGTAATAAACAACAATTTTTCATATTACGTCTTATTGTTTCTTAATTACCTTAATTATGGTCTTCAAAGTATGTGTTTGTACATTTTTATGTGGCATTTAGTTTTTTTTAGTAAAACAAATCAACCATTGCCATCTAAAACTGAAAATCAAATATCTTCAAAGTATGGTTTTTCACATTTTTATTTATGACAATTATTTTTAAAAAATCACAACCAATTTGTATGATTTACAACATGTAAAACTGACACACCAACCTCCTGCACGAGTGCACAAAGGGGCTCAAAATGTTCTATTCATCACAAGAATCAGTAAATATACAGTTGGGCATATGAGCGACTGACATGACTCCTGAGCGGATCTTCAACAATAGTTTAGCAGCCAGGACTCGGGGCTTCCGAACACCAGGCTAAACCGTCCGTCCAAAATGTCACGGTCATCGTGCACGAGCTGCCCAGCACAAACTTCCAAACTTTCTACCTCCTTCACTTGGTCCTCAGTTGTGCAACAAGAGGTGAGAAGATAACAATCCGGCTTTAAATTCTGTATATTCGGCAGTTTCTTTTCCAACAATGAACCGAATAGCTTTTCTCACGTCTTTCTCCGCTGCCATTACTGAACTCAAAGTGACGCGCTTACATCAACGTCATCGTTCTCAGCCACTCCCTCTATTCGCTGATTGGTCCTACAAAAAATTGATTTCTGGAAACCTAAGGATATGGAGCGATCCCAGACGCAGTACTGAAGTAAAATAAAATTGAGCGGAAGTGCGTAGGAGGGCGCAGCCAGGCTAACAGTACGATGCATCGTTGAAGAAATCGACTAGCTAGTCACGACTACTTCTCGAAACCGTAGTGTCCCAAATTGATCGTTTAACCACGTTGGTTAATGACGTCACACACGTGGTGGATAATAACTTCTTTTAATGAATCTGTTTGAGTTTGAAATAATGCTAAATGTTTTGCTATAAATTGCAGACATGGCATGTGAGGAATATTTCAAATTTTGGTTTATTTTCAGATTCAATCATAGACTCGTTCTTACGCACTAGAGCTCGTTCACACATGCGCACTCTTTAAATCTCGACAAACTAAAAGACCTAAATGAAATTTGTATGTATTCTAAATAAAAGACAAAGGTTGCACCGAACATAGATATCTATATAAAGGCTAGATGTCTCACAGCGGAGTATTTATCGTCATCACCGGCGGCCATCTTGTCACAGACAGGCATTCTGGCGGGCTCTGTGGTATCTGATTTAAGAAATACTCTTATCTCGTTGAAATTTTGACAGATTTACAAACGGTTTGGTTTCTTACAATCGTTATTAACGTGGCTATAATTCTGGATGATTATTTATTTATACACTTATAAGTATGCAGTATCATAACTACATCTCTGCCGTTTATAACAAACCAGACCGTTTGAAAATCGGTAGAAAATTGAGCAAGTTATGGTGATTTAAAAAGTACATGCATCATTAACACAATGTTACCAGTGACAAGATGGCCGCCAGGTGCTGACGTCGACCTCCATTGGCCAGCAACGCGGACAAGATATCTAGCCTTTATATAGATATCTATGGTACCGAATGTCAGCTTGCTTATTTTGGTTAAAGGGTTAGTTCACCCAAAAATGAAAATTAAGTCATTAATTACTCACCCCCATGCTGTACCAACCCCGTAAGACCTTCGTTCGTCTTCGGAACACAAATGAAGATATTTTTGTTTAAATTTGAGAGCTGTATAACTACCACATAGACTTCCGAGACTGGCTCTTGACGGCCCAGAAAGTCAATGAAGAAAATGTTTAAATATCCCAAGTGACTACCGTGGCTCAACTATATGTTTATCAAGCGACGAGAATACTTTTTGTGCGAAAAAACAAACAAAAATAACGAGTTTATTCGACTATTTCTTTTCTTCCTTGTAGGCCAGAACGAGACTTCCTTAGATTTCCACGACGCATGCGCGAGATTTGCGATCTGCTCACACCAGCTTACACTACTTCAGATCGCAATTCTCGCGCATGCGTCGTGGAAATCTAAGGAAGTCTCGTTCTGGCCTACAAGGAAGAAAAGAAATAGTCGAATAAACTCGTTATTTTTGTTTGTTTTTTCGCACAAAAAGTATTCGCGTCGCTTGATAAACATATAGTTGAGCCACGGTAGTCACTTGGGATATTTAAACATTTTCTTCATTGACTTTCTGGGCCGTCAAGAGGCAGTCCTTTAGGAGCCAATGTGGTAGTTATACAGCTCTCAAATTTAATCAAAAATATCTTCATTTGTGTTCCGAAGACGAACGAAGGTCTTACGGGGTTGGTACAGCATGGGGGTGAGTAATTAATTACTTAATTTTCATTTTTGGGTGAACTAACCCTTTAAGATCAGGATTTATTGAGTCCACATGTCATGCAAACACGCTGTTTGCGAATAATGAAACGATGGTTTCGGGAAACACAGACTCTTAAAAGCGACAGAACTTGCGACCGTACACTTTTCCATGTTGATAAGAGTATTAAAATGAGACTTCAAGAGACATTTAGAATAGATAAAAATGTGCGATTAATCGCGAGTTAACTACAACATTAATGCGATTAATCGCGATTAAACATTTTAATCGCTTGACAGCACTAATTTTAACAAAAAAATCTTACATGCTACACATTCAACAATGTATAAAGATACATTTCCTATATAGTAATAAAATCCAATGCAACACTGAGAAACAGAATTAATCAATGATTGTTAGTGCTTGTCCTGATTAAAACGACAACTCTCTCATGACATGAACAGTAAAGTGGAAACACAAGTGCAGTCACAGGTTGCTGGAAGCTTCTCTTGTGCTCGTCTCTTGTATTACACACAGCTGGGAGGGGATATCTGTTTAAATGTCACCAGCATTAGCTACATTATCGGCACAAATGCCTCCCACAAACAGCCGAGAGCTGGGAATCAATCCAATCCAAACAGCTCCATACAAACACCACCCTTCAATTCATATCGGGCTTCAGTCATTTAGATTTATAGTGTCGAGTGTGGCGTCTCATCCCGTTACATCATCCTGACACATGACAGACTGAGAGTGAGTGATGACAATGATGTGGCATGTATTAATGAATATGAGTGATTGGACGATATGAAAACATGACTCATACTAATTGAGATGAACTAATAAAACTGTTGAATCATAGTGGGTGAATGATGTCGTCTAAGAGGAGTGCAGTGGAACCTCGTAAGGAAGTGCATGAGGGACTCAACTCACAATTAATTCCAATCAACTATATTATTTATTGCTTTCAGCATTAAATACAAACATAATTTACATTCGTTTCATATTGTCCACCATCTTGGATTTCGTTTTTCACTTAGCCTGTAGCAATCGGGGTTTTTTTTTCCCCCAAGCCAGTTCAGCTCAAACTCTTAATAACTCCCTAATTTACAACAAATAATAATAACCCCTAACCCTATCCAATCAAATTGGCTGCAAGGTGGGATTTGTTTGCTCTGTGTAGGCTGGATAATGTTTCTGTCACGGGTGACAAAATCGCTCAGTAAACGGAACCTTCTTGAGAGTCCTGAGTTTCCTAGGGGAACGTATTGGGTGCAACACTCCACTACGGTTCCGGGTGTGATGGAAACATGCCCGTACTGATTAGCGCTAATGCATTGCAGGTGTGAGAGAGAGAGGAGCGGCGCTCACACAGGCTTCCTGTTTCATAAGCCACAATATAAAAGGAGCATTTAGAGAGTGTTTGCAGTGCGGTTGGTGGGTGTACAGTGTGTCAAGATTCCAAAGGGTTGACTCTGGGCAGTGCTGGATACGGGCTTCCTTGGAAAAGTCGTTGGAGTGTGGAGATCGCCCATTCGGGTTTGCTGGGTCAGATTGATCGTTTGTGGGAGGACTGCTGGGCCGAGCTAGGGCTGGATCTGTGCTGTGGAAGGAGAGAGGAAAGATAAGTGAATGGTTTTCATCTTATGAACATTTGAACCACTTGAAGAGGATACAGTGAATGTGGATCTGACTGTTGGAGGAGCTATGTGTTTCAGAGTGTGATGAGGAGGAATTAAAAGTGAAAACCCTGTAAACGAGCGCAACGGCCGGAGTGGGGCCTCTGTCCAACCCTATCGTGTGAGTGAATTGCAGTGCTTTTGCCTTATTGATACACATTGATTTATTGCTGTGGAATTGAAGTGAACACAAGTGTGCTGTGTCTTTGTTGAGAAGTGGCCCCCATCCATGCTTACACGTTCGTGGAAGGTTATTATATCTGCCCCCGTCAGAAGCCCAGAGTGATACAGTGAACTGAGGAGAGAGTACTTTGTACTGTGAAGATCCACACCTGTTCTACTTGCTGTTTGAGCCCAGAAGCATACAGCACCACTGGTAAAGTAACCTTATGACTCACTGTCTCCCTATTGTGAACTGAAGAGAGAGTACTGTGTACTGTGACTATCCTCACCTGTTCTACTTACTGTTTGAGCCCAGAAGTATACAGCAACGCTGATAAAGTAATCGTTTAACCCACTGTCGCCCTACTGTGAACTGAGCAGAGAATACTTTGTACTGTGAAGATCTCCACCTGTTCTACTTGCTGTTTGAGCCCAGAAGCATACAGCACCACTGGTAAAGTAACCTTATGACTCACTGTCTCCCTATTGTGAACTGAAGAGAGAGTACTGTGTACTGTGACTATCCTCACCTGTTCTACTTACTGTTTGAGCCCAGAAGTATACAGCAACGCTGATAAAGTAATCGTTTAACCCACTGTCGCCCTACTGTGAACTGAGGAGAGAGTACTTTGTACTGTGAAGATCCACACCTGTTCTACTTGCTGTTTGAGCCCAGAAGCATACAGCACCACTGGTAAAGTAACTTTATGACTCACTGTCCCCCTATTGTGAACTGAAGAGAGAGTACTGTGTACTGTGACTATCCTCACCTGTTCTACTTACTGTTTGAGCCCAGAAGTATACAGCAACGCTGATAAAGTAATCGTTTAACCCACTGTCGCCCTACTGTGAACTGAGGAGAGAGTACTTTGTACTGTGAAGATCCACACCTGTTCTACTTGCTGTTTGAGCCCAGAAGCATACAGCACCACTGGTAAAGTAACCTTATGACTCACTGTCTCCCTATTGTGAACTGAAGAGAGAGTACTGTGTACTGTGAATATCCTCACCTGTTCTACTTACTGTTTGAGCCCAGAAGTATACAGCAACGCTGATAAAGTAATCGTTTAATCCACTGCTTCATTACCGTGCACCCACGAGAGTACCCTGTACTGTGAAGAATCCTTACCTGCCATACTTACCGTCTGAGTCTGGAAGTCTGCAGCACCGCTGGGGAAAAAGTAAGCTTTTAATCCACTGCTTTATTATCGTGCACCAACGACAGTACTCTGTACTGTGAAGAATCCTTACCCGCCATACTTACTGTCTGAGTCTGGAAGTCTGCAGCACCGCTGGGGGAAAAGTAAGCTTTTAATCCACTGTTTTATTATCGTGCACCAACGAGAGTACTCTGTACTGTGAAGAATCCTTACCCGCCATACTTACTGTCCGAATCTGGAAGTCTGCAGCACCGCTGGGGGAAAAGTAAGCTTTTAATCCACTGCTTTATTATCGTGCACCAACGAGAGTACTCTGTACTGTGAAGAATCCTTACCTGCCATACTTACTGTCTGAGTCTGGAAGTCTGCAGCACCGCTGGGGGAAAAGTAAGCTTTTAATCCACTGCTTTATTATCGTGCACCAACGAGAGTACTCTGTACTGTGAAGAATCCTTACCCGCCATACTTACTGTCTGAGTCTGGAAGTCTGCAGCACCGCTGGGGAAGAGTAAGCTTCTAATCCACTGCTTCATTACTGTGCACCAACGAGAGTACTTTGTACCGTGAAGAATCCTTACCTGACATACTTTCTCTTGGGTCTGGAAGTCTGCAGCACCGCTGGGGAGAAGTAAGCTTCAACCCCCCTGCTCCATCATCATACATCGACGAGAGTCTCTTGAACTGTGAGAAACCTTTGGCTTAATAAAGATTGTTACTCCTTTGAAATTTATCTCTGTCTCCGGGTCCTCTGTTGTGTGCCTGTGGTGTCGGCTCCTCACGGTGGTGACTCAGTTAGAGGGGGGGGTGGTTGGTCACCAGAGCGTTCCTCCCCTCGACCTGTGACATCAAAAGTGGCGTAGTCGGCAGGATACACACCGTGAGTTGTAGCGGCCACAGGTACGCGATGGCGGACGAAGAGGCACCTGCGGCTCGTCCTCAAGTCATGCCGATCTTCATGGGAGCTCCCTGGGCGCAGCGCTATGGAGGACCGGGATCGGAGTTAGGCTTACAGGATTGGAAGGCGCAGACGGAGTATCTGGCTGGACTACAGGGACTGAGTGCAGCACAGAGAGTACAGTTTGTGTTGGGGTCGCTGGAAGGAGAAGCCAAAAGGGAAGTTCTGGCTGCATCGGAAGCCACACGTGCTACCGCAAAAACTATCTTCGATTTCTTGTTCGGATTATATGGAGACTCCACCCCAGTGGCCACTCTTCGTGCCCAGTTCTTTAACTATAAACAGGGGCCTACGCAGACACTTCGGGCATACTCCTTGAAGTTGCGGGAGCAGTTTGGCTGGCTGAAGGGGCGACCGGACCATGGACTGGGTGAAGGGGATGACTTGTTACGAGATCAATTCGTCTTGGGGCTGCGTGAAGGGCCAGTACGTCAGGGCATACGACTCCAGCTTCGACGAGACCCCACTATGACCTTTGAGGCTCTGCGACAAGAGGCCTTGGCGTTAGAACTGGACCAGGGAGAGGTAACTCGCACACCAGTCTGTGTGGCAGCAAGTAGTGCCAGTGGACCTGCGCCTGTCGAACCGAGCGATTGGAAACAGAAACTGAGGGCCGAACTGTTGGAGGATGTCAAGGGACAGATGGCGGAATTATCCCGGAACCTGCTGGGTGAGCTTCGTCGAGGGCGAGTTGAAGGCGGAGCAGTGGGGCGAGAGAGGTCGTATTCAGAGGAAGGGCGAGGTCCTCTGCGCCGCCCCCTACGTCCTGTGGGCCCCCGGTTCCAGTGGGACGACCAAGGAAGGCCCATTTGTATAAATTGTGGAGATCCTGGACATATCAGTCGCCAGTGTGGGCTTCGTCGGGGTTCTCAAGGGGGTTTTTAGTTCCACCGGCCACTGTGGGTCAAGTGGCCGGGACCCCTTTGCGTGACCCTCTTTCTGTTCCTGTTGCACGAGATGACTGGGTGGGACATTGCCCTACCGTGGAGGTTCAAGCTAATGGAGTCACGATAGACTGTTTGGTTGACACAGGGTCTCAAGTTACGCTATTCTCGGAGAGCCTGGCCCAGGAGTTGTTCGCAGATCATCGGCTCCAAGCAACTGAAGCTTCCAGGCTGACCCTACGGGGGGCTAATGGTTTGGACATCCCCTACACGGGGTACATCGTGGTAGACTTTCTTGTCCGAGGGGTCCCCGTCCAACAAAAAGGGGTAGTT